TCTGTACTGTGTCTCTGCTGCCCTGATCTCACTAGTCTGTACTGTATCTCTGCTGCCCTGATCTCACTGGGCTCTACTGGTCTGTACTGTATCTCTGCTGCCCTGATCTCACTGGGCTTTACTGGTCTGTACTGTGCTGTGCTTATTCCATGGTCTCAATGGTGACACTGGTGTGTTGTTTTCATACTATGCTATTCCTGACATTGAATGGTTGAATGATCAGCGAACAGCATTGCTGTAAAACTGCAGCTTATAGAACAATCCTAGGCTTTGGGGTTTTTTACGGTCTCCCCTGCTGTTCTCAACTGAGGAGAGGGCCAGATACAGTTTTTTCTTACTGACCTGTGCTGTTCTGTATGAGTCTGTAGACAATAAAAGTATTTTAGCACTGTGGTTTCCCTCGGGGGAACATCTTTAGCACAGCGATGATAAATGGCGGGCGGGATCATGAGGAAGTCAGATTATCTTGGGTTTCAGTGGGCAAGGGCATGGGGCTGTGAACCGGCCCCCACCTGACAGCAACAGGAAGTGTTTGCAGTACAGGATGTACTGATACACAGCAGGATGAGGCAGGCCTGGAAATGACATTTCAGTGTGTGCTGTAATATAGGAAAGGTTCCCATCCAGAGGAGTTTCCTCCACTCATCCTGGCTCACTCCCAAAGTTTCCTCTACAGCTCCTCGATCCCAGAACTTTGTCTGGCCATTTCTTGAAAGTTCCTGGGGACTCCTGGGCAACACAGCTGAGCAAACTGCACCCTACGACCCCCCCCCCCAACCTCTCTCTGTGTAAAGAAGTGCCATACTTCATTACTGAAATGCTCCTGCGTTTAGCCTCATTGGGACTGAGTTTGCCCGCTCTTTGTCAGTGTGCCTGTCAGTAGCGGTGAGTGTCGGTGACGCTGGGGCGCGGACAGGTGCTGACCTGGAAGGTGCCAGTGTTGTTGTCGGTCATGTCCCAGAGGGAGAAATCAATCTCCCGGTCGCCATGCTCATCGATCCGTATCGGTCCTGTCACTCCTGGGGGAAGAGAGAGGGAGACAAAGACAAAAGCCGTGAGCCCGGCCCCAACTCGTCTCGGCGACACCTCGAAACTCGAATCTAGTGCAGAGCTGGTGCAGTGACGGTCACAGAGACCCCGTGTATCACGCAGGGCCTGATGCAGACAGGAGGCTGACACTCAGCCCTCGGGGGTTACAGGAGCACAGTGTTAACGGCACAGGGCACGCATGTAAGCAGTGTTAAGGGTGGGTGTCTTTCGGCAGTGATTGCTCCCACCCCTGGAGGCACCCCAGGGGGTGGGGGGGGGCTGCTGTGCCCAGCCAGCTGGGTCCTAACTCACACACGCCGCACACTCACCTGACACTGCTGCAGCCAGCAAAATAAATCATTAACCACCACATCTTGATTTAGTGAGGGCTCATGGCTCATCCATTAACTTTCACCGCTCACCCATAAAATCTGTGCGGGGCCGGAGAGAGAGAGAACCAAGGGCTGCATCTGTGCCGTTTTCCACAACGCTGACTTCACACTGTTGCTTCATTGAAAAGGAAGAAATTGCTAGAAAATCATTCAGCTTAGAAAATTGAAATTGCCATCTTTTCAGCGCAGTGAGGTTTTCTATTTTCATTCCAGCTGATCTTTTGATGACCGGATTGACACCTTTAATGGTTTTCTGATAGAAGTCTATTGGTCGCTGAAAACAATTAAGAAAGCTGAAGGCAAAACTACTCAGTTCAGCAACCGCAGCCTCTCTAAGGCTCTGACTATGGCAGAGCTACAGAGCAGACTTCCAGCACAAAGCACTCTGATCCTCTGATCCACAGTGTTGTCAGTTAAACTCCTAGTGCACTGCAGTCTGATCCACTCCAGGATTTACAGTGTGATCAGTTAGACTCCTAGTGCACTGCAGTCTGATCCACTCCAGGGTTTACAGTGTGATCAGAGACTCCTAGTGCATTGCAGTCCGATCCATTCCAGGGTTTACAGTGTACTCAGTTAGACTCCTAGTGCACTGCAGTCTGATCCACTCCAGGGTTTACCGTGTACTCAAGAGACTCGTAGTGCACTGCAGTCTGATCCACTCCAGGATTTACAGTGTACTCAGTTAGACTCGTAGTGCACTGCAGTCTGATCCACTCCAGGATTTACAGTGTACTCAGTTAGACTCCTAGTGCACTGCCTGGTTGAAAGCCTGTTTTAACAACAAGCTGTTAAATGGTGTTTGTCGAGACACCTCCTCCCCCATCATACGCTTATTCCCTTATTTTCTGTCTTGACATTGTTTTATCTACCAGTGACTGGTGATGATGAAAACAGCTCCTCACAATCTGTGCCGCACAACGCCTGCGTGTCTATTAATTAGGCTAATTGCTGATCAGGGCTGCAGCTTGTTTGCTGTGTTTGCTTTGTGTTTTGAACAGGGAGGTTTAAATCCTACTCAATTTCTCAGCATGTAAAATAGCACAGGATAACCACCCATTCAAGAATATTTGAGCGCCGACGGTGTGAATTGAGCCTCCATGTTTAGGCGATAAGACAGCCCTCCACAGGATGGATTTGTTTTCTGTGATACGTGGTGGCACAGTCACAGCAGAGAGCAGTAAGTCATCTGGCTGTGGGCCGGGCGCAGTCTGTGGAGACCCGGTGCGTCGTGCGGGCCGGTGCAGGAAGACGACAGAGGGGGGTGGCGAGGGCGCAGCGGGCACTGCTAGCCCTCGCCACAGGAGGGCCAGTGTCCGGAGAGCAGCGTGAGGCCCGGCGGGAACGACATGGCGTGGCGGCTCGGAAGCGCGGTGGGCCGTCTGGGGCAGGGGGTCCAGGGTGGATCCCATGGGACCGAGCTCCAGCAGGAGTCAGAATTCCAGTAAGAGGGGAGGGGAAGCGTGCTGGGGCCGCTGGCCTGGCCCTGCCCAGGCAGCCAGGCTGCAGCAGCAGATCGAGGTGAGCTCGTCGGAGCTCTCGCCGTGCTCGCGAACAGCAACACCGGAGAACTGAGACGGGTTCCGGGAAGGTCACAAATGGGGTGGGCTCTTTTTGGCACAGGAAGCTCATCTGGCTGCTTGGTGTCTAAGTGGTCTGAGGGCCCCGTCCCGTTGTTTCCTGAACCAGTTTCAACAACATGGTGGGCCAGTTTTACAGCCGTCTTTCCTGTCCTAAACACAGACTCTGGGCTAGAGGAAAATCAGCTGGCCTTGTTAAGTCCCCAGTTTCTACAAGCTTCATATGTCAAAATTTAACATCACTACGATTTTTTTTCAATTAAACTAACAAAGATTTTCTGAGTGATGGACTCCTTGGGGTAACCTTTACTGAATTTCTCCAAATCAAAATCTCACATCTTCCATTTTAATTAAAGGAAGACGTAACTCAAGATATTAGTGTCAACAGAGTTTAATTAGTTAGTCAGCTCCAATTGGAGTTTTTAATTTGTGGATCTGCGGAAAACCTTTAGAAAAACACAGCTGGGTCTGTTTTCCTACAGCTCATGGAAGGGCCCTACATGCTCATGACCACAGCGGGGCCGATTCTGGTAGGGTGCAGGGCCTGACACAGACGCTCACACTCACAGCAGGCTGTGTCTGGCTGGGTGCAGGCCCAGACACAGGCGCTCATGCGCAAATGGGGATTGGCAGAGATGTGTATAGAGACAAGGTCAGACGCTCAGGCCTGTTAGGCACTGTGCAGGGATTTGGACTGCATCACGCTTGTAACTGGAGCCCTCCTGACATCTACGCCCCCTACCCTTGTGCCTCAGAGCCTCTCCCTTTCCCCTCTCCTCTCCCTCCTCTCTTTCCTTCCTTTTTTCCATCTGTTTCCCTCCGGCGGTTTTCTGTTGCCTGCCCCCTCCCCTTCTACCACGGCCTCCCTCATCCTCTCTCTCTGCCTCTCACTTCACCTTCTCCCTGTCTCCCTCCTTCCATTTTCCTCTCCCTGGCCACAGCTCCCGCGCCCCTCAGCGAACGCACGCTGCTGCAGAGATGTATTGATCTCCTTAAGTGGCCGCCGGTATGTGCAGCAGCTTAGAGACCGGAGGCGTCGAGGCAGTACAAACGGCATAGCGCAGGCCGACAGGCAGACAGGAAAGCAGCTGGGCAGGCAGACAGGCCGGGCTACAGACAGACAGGCTCTTGCGCCGAAAATCCAAAATGCATTTGTGCGAGAGACAATCTCGACGAATGAAGACACCTGAGAGGAACCTAGAGCGTTGTGTAACAGTGTGATGACTCAGCAGTCTGATGTTTTTTAAAATGGGCTAAATCGCTGTCATTTTGAAACAGTGGGGCTCCATGTCGAGTAACAGGTATTTACGGCGATTCCTAGCGAGGAAGCCGCAGGAACGGGTGGAAATGTAGCCGTGGATGAGCGGGGCTGGGGGTGTAAGAGTCCGGGGTGAGGAGAGGAAATGTGTCTGACAGCTGTACCATACGCACAGCTCTTCCCGAAGAAACACTGGTGCCCAGATTTATTCCCCGATTCCCAGTCTCGCCAGCCACACATTTGAAGCCGACAAGCTTTAATGAAACAGAACCGGGTGCAAAGTGATTTTCCTTAACGATTAACGATCAATGAGAAAGCAGTTTCTGACATCTTCAGCCACACAAACGCTCAGCTTACGAAGGCCGATGTCTCCGCTGCTGGGGATCATTGATCGACTAATTGGCTGAGTAGAGACTGAGATGTGGATCAGGCGATATACAGATCCCAATCCTTATCCGGAAAGTAACCCGCAGCCCTGAAAAGGAAAGAGCCTGTGACTGGTGGTCAAGAGGCTCTTGTCCCATGTCCAGCGGAGTCGAGAAGGACAGGGAGATTCCAGCGAATATGTTTGCCTTTGTACGAGCCTCACAGTCAGGAGTGTGCTAGGAAGGGGAGGATATTCTGCAGGACCCTAACACTGCCCCGAGCTTAAGACATATGTCACTGATCACATGCTCAAGTGACATTCCTCTCCTCGTCCAAACAAGGTGTTTTTGCCCCCTGCAGTGCCAGGAGGAGGCTTGTACGTTACCAAAAAGACGCCTAAACCCTGGAGTGGACCAGACTGCAGTGCACTAGGAGTCTAACTGAGTACACTGTAAATCCTGGAGTGGATCAGACTGCAGTGCACTAGGAGTCTAACTGAGTACACTGTAAATCCTGGAGTGGGTCAGACTGCAGTCCACTAGGAGTCTAACTGATCACACTGTAAATCCTGGAGTGGATCAGAGAGAGGCGGCACCAAAACACATCCAATCTGATCTCTGCGTGTGGCTTCAATCTGCCACCGGGCCACAGGGCCGGCCTGAAGGTGTTTGGGAGATGGGAGGAAACCGGAGGTCCTCCTGAAAAATTCACACAAGTGGAGAACACGCAGACTCCACGCAGACAGTCCCCAAAGCTGTGGAGCCGCAGTGTGAACCGCTGAACTGTGCAACCTCAAACAAGAAGAGACTTTGTGTTGGAAATCTTCTGATGCTGCAGATTGTGAGACACACTGAGGAACTGAGAAATCTAAAGAGCTCACTCCAGCCCTTTGGCACTCTGTCCCTCCAGCTCAGGGCCTGTTCTGCTCGGTCACCCCTGTGGACGAGAGCTCCGAGTTTCCTTGATGGACACTTGTGGGACATTGGAGTATGCCGGAGCCTGGGAATGGAAGCAGGCTGATGGATTTAAGGACTGGGAATGGGACGAGCAGGATCGTCCCATAACCAGCTTCAGAGTTGTGGGACTGAGGGGAGCTGCAGTGGTTTGGGGGGGGGTGCTGCTCTCCCTGTGCACTGCAGACCTCAGCCGACCACAGCCATCCCACACCATCCTGTTTGGGCACAAACCAGCCGCACATCGGTGCCCTGGGACACCCTCTCCCTCTCTCCAGACCGCTTTTGACTCAATCGGGACACACCTCTCACTGCCCTTGCGAAATGCGCTCTAACTTTCCCAAAACTCATGACATCCTCCTGCAATGTCAAATTCCGCCCCTGCCCTGCCGTGTGAAAATTCCAGTGTCCTGCTCGCTGGAGAGTTATTGGTTTTTCTGG